TTAACATGAAATAGTGATTGAATGAAATTTACCTTGACATATGCCACCAGTACAAACCCCACTCACACAGTCTGAATTTCCTCCACATGTCAGATTTGCTGCGCATTTTGTTGAACAAATGCTACCTCCGCAGTCAACACCGGTCTCATCCTGATTTTTAACACTGTCACTGCAGGTCGGTCCTTGAACAGAATGAATTTTGAAAAATTATTGGTCACAGCAAATTAATCTTAAGTGTGGGTATGGGTTTAACAATAGTATTTCACACACATCCGCCCTCACACCTACCCTCGGTGGTAAGTAGTCAGGCAGTAACTCTAGATATGCATGGCGCTTGTTTAGGGGTGGATAGAGATAGAAGCAAGTGTGTCGAATAGCCCAAAGCTAGGGAACGTTCTTTATATATAGACTCTTTGCACTACGCCATGTGAATCTTTATGAAGAACAGCACCTACTAAAACGTTACAGACGAATTAGATAACTTACTTGCTGTTGTTGTTGATGTGGTTATGAATGTAGTTGTTGATGTAGTTGTTGATGTGGTTGTTGATGTTGTTGTTGGTGGTGGCACATTGGGGACTGTCGACGATGACGCATTCGAAACTGAAAAAAAATGATTGCTTTTTCAAAAAATGAATCTTTAGAAATTATATCTTTTTACATGAACCATATAATCGGTTTGTCAAAGTCATCGGTAGTTTTCAGCTATATTTTAAGTTAGATATGTAACTTGGAATATAAAACATGGTTTTATTAGATGTTTTGATATCTAGTGTGAATTGTTTACGCGAAACAAGAAGAGAATATATTCAATGCGGGTGAACCAACCAACTCTTCTATTGGTGTGGGTGAGTGTAAATGCTCTATTTCATCCTAACTCACACCCACACCCTCATGGCTGATCTTAATATCAAATGGTCCTCCTTAAATAGATAGAGGCTGCATCAAATAATGCACACTACATGTGCTGAAAGTTTTAGTTTAACCGGATCTATTGTTCTAATTGAATTAAATTAATCGAAATACGTTCACCACTGCTTCGAGAAACAACCCTACTGTATAAAGACGATATTTAGAGGGAAAGAACTAGAGTAGAGTACGAGATAAAGAAACAATAGAATGTTGTTTCCCATTGTATCATTTCAACCTTTGTTCTCATATTCTAAATTAGTATTATCACTATGAAGAAATTTTTTTTTCAATTTGTCTCTCGTACCTGGAACAACTTGACCAAAGGCACAAAATCGGCATGAAACTGTATGTGATCCTAGGTTTGTTTCAATAGTGAATGAAGTCGAGCTAAGTTTCGACTGTATGTCAGCCATGGTTGAATTTTTACATTGTGTAAGACAATAATCAGTCTTGCATTTTGTTTCTGGGCACTCATTGATAATGATCGCAACCATAAGTTTGTCACCTTTGCCTATATTAGAACCTGCTTCAACTGCATTGCAAGAAACTGCATCTCTAAAAGAATGAATAATATGAAAAGCTTTTTATTTAATAAAGCAGATTTTAAAGAAGCTGACCTTAATTGTCGTTTTCTCCTCTTGGTGCTTGTAACGCTACCAGTCTTCAAGGCAATCGATTTAAGACTTAACACACCATTCGAGTAACCCATTTTTTCGTTAAACTGAAAAACAAAAATATTTATGTTGGATACTATATAATAAATAATATGAAAGTACCTGAAGAGCAAGTGCATCATCATTAGTAACTGATTCCCCAACACTACTACTGAAATCAGTAGCAAACACCATGTTAAGATTTGAATTTACTAAAAAATATAAAAGTGGAATGAAACAATTGGAAGAAATACTATTCTCTTTACCACTGTTTACGACAACATTAGCACCTTTCTTTGATAAGTACAGCGGAATCAATGAACAGACAATTGTAACCGCAATGAGCAATAGTATAGTGAAAAATATACATATTCCTCCTACTGGTAACCACCCTGCTCTGCGTCTAAAAATTAGACATGAAGAGTATGAAAAAAAATGATCAATAATCATGGATTCATACGTGGTTTCTCTAGCCCCATGATCAGGGTTACCACGAAAATTTTGAATGTAATTACCCATATCTAAAATAAACGTCAGATGTTAATTTCATCTTTTGACTAGCTTTCTATAAAACGGAGAGACATTAAAAAATAGAATTCTCATTCTAAAACTAACAAATCGACCAAACAAACATAGGAAACTAAAAAAATCTCATGCAGAAACATGAATACAAGGTGTTAAGAATACTGTTGATAACATATCCAGTAAAGGATGAACTACCTTAAATAAAATTGATCGACTAAAAAGAATATGTATGAACCGCGTATGTATCCTAAGTAGGGTTTAGAAAAGGGTTTGAGAAATATTCATATATCCAAAGAGAAGTTAAGAAACGATGTAGATGACACTCATAATTTATATATGAGTATATTCGGAATCCTCACTTGAACCATTTTAGAAGTTTTATGCATTGCTATATGTGTCATCCAAACGCCTCCATATACTCCTTTCACAAGAGTCTGTTGTTGTGCTATCATTTTTACGATAGAAAAGATATATTTCAATTCAATAAGCTATGTGAATTCTATTAACCTATAATAGAATACAAGAGTTTACGAAGGATGAATGGAATTTAAAATGTTTTATCAGAATATACTGAGATTTCCTACGGCCAAACTAGAATATTTCTTCATATCTCTACGAATTATTTCATCTATAGTTTCATTATCATTAACTTTTGTCAATAATCTTTAACATTAGTACACTTTGGTAGACCCTAATCAGCACCCTTGAAAGAATTGGTAAACCCTAGCACAGAGTAAATCCTTATAGAACTGACTATTTTTTGAGTGGCTCCGTAACTTATTTGTATCACCTGACGAAAAGCCGTGCAAGTAAATAAATGTAAAAAGGACCTCAAAGTCCGCTCATCAAAAGAAAAATATAAACAAGTCAAAGCCACCACAACTAATAAACACTATATGAGAATAAATACTACTAAATCAAATCAATGAATCAAACAGACCAAAAGTCTAAAATCAGATTTAATCCAAGAATTAAAAAATAGAGAAGAAAAGACATAAATCTATTTAAAATTGATATGTACTTATAAGTTGTTTTATTTGACCTGACGTATCACTTAAAAATAAGTAGAAACAACCAAATAAAGATATTGCCCTAGGGAGCCAGCTAAACAATAAAAACCAATTTATATTAATTATATTTAGAATTCATTAAAATTAAATTTATTACTATGATTCTGAATTGTATAAATATAAATATAAATATGAATATAGATATACACAAACAAATATACATATGTATATTAATTATACATATAGTTCCTTAAAACTCAATCTTTTCCTAACTATATCTAAATTTACTAATGTATGTATGTATATAGATAGTAATGGATATAGATATGGAGAATATCAGTTTGTATCCGAACTCGAATTAGGCATATACTGAGTTTGCACTAAAAATGCTATTTACCTTCTCTCGTTGTATTTCGATTGTTTCTTGTTGAATGTGAAAATATCAGTAATGTCCTCTGTTTATATGCTGTGCACTCTTTTCAATCTCTCTTTCTCTCGTTTTTCTCTATTCTGCTTTTGTGTTCTGTTTGTTTTCGTTTTAATTTTGTCTTTCTTGTGCTAATTTATGGCTGAATAGTCATGTTTTTGCTCTGTAATTTTGCGTTGCACCCATGGCTGCTACGAAAATTCTGGTATTTGAACTTTCTTCTTGGTTAAAAAATCTTCTAGTACCAAAAGCTGGCTTTCCTGACTCTTTGAGTATTTTCTCAAGTGAAATTTTAGCTAAACTATGAATCAAATGCGACACTCAATAATAAACAAGCTCTTTTTGTTGGTACTTCTATAGAAACAAGATGGGACAACGTCACATAATGAAAATAATTCGTGTACTGGATCTGAAATTATGTTGGCTCTGATTCTAATAATAAAGAATAGGCTGATATATATTCTAAGGAACACTGACAACATTAATATATACGATGTAATTATTTATGGATTTATGTTATTCATGATGAAAATATAATTCAGTTATACAAACTAATACAGTTTATTTTTTCTATACTACTTTCGAATGCTTTTGTGAATTAATCTTCAATCGTATGGAGTTTTTGTGGAATAGTCATCGATACAATACGCGCATTTGCGTTACCGAATCTTTTGATTATATGAAAAGAATTGTCCATAAAATCAATTTGACATTTAATTTTATAAATCTTGCAAGATTTTCCTATCAGATTACCAATTTCAATTTTATGTATCATCACAGTTGGTGGGTGCTTCCAAAAAAAGATTTTTTTGTCATATGGCTTTAATAGAATTGATTTTAATGACTGTCGCTTTTGCAACATATATTTCATGATGAATGAGCAATAACTCATTCAAACTGGATATCGCAGTAATTTTTGCAATTTCATCATTGTTTAGAACGAAAGTCTTTTTCATATTACTTTTCGATAGTATAACTACTCTCAATAAAAGGAGCCGGAAACTCATCCGTCAACATTCAATTCTATATGATCACAAGATGTATACAGATACTCATCTGCTTCATATCTACAGTCATTTAGTTTCAGTTGATGAAAAACAGATCCGCAATTGCTTTTTCTTTTCTATACTCAAAATATTTTTTCAAACTAATTATATTCTTCATCAATCTTTGACTTGTCCTTTACATCAATTAGTATTTCTCATCGCGCAATAGTTTTAGTAATAACTGTCTAGTGTGTTAATCAATAAATATCATGCGTATTTACTTTTTTCATCAAAATATCTTATTTAAAATAATTTTTAAAAGTAATTATACTTTTCATTTATCTATGGTCATGCTTCTTCGCTTATTAATGCAGATCAATATGCAATAGCTTGAGAAATAACTGTGTAATGCGTTACTAAATAAATATCATGAGTAATCACTTTTTCCATCAAAATATCTTATTTAAAATAATTTTTAAAAGTAATTATACTTTTCATTTATCTATGGTCTGTCATCTTCGCTTATCAGTGCTGATCAATGTGCAATAACTTGAGACATAACTATCTAATGCGTTACTGATTAAACATTTGGCTTATCCAGTTCGTCTTTCCAAACATACTACATAAAGTGCTTTGGAAGTAAAATATAAAATTGATCACAATGAATATTTGCGATTTCGAAAAAGCTTCATTCAAAAAAAACGTGAATCAAAATAATAATTTCACTATCATCTGGAATATTAGATGTTTTCGTACCAATTACAATCGATTTCCTGATTGCAAATATAATGTTTTCCGAATTATTTGTATCTTGATGTTGAATTTCGTTGATAACGAAGTACCATTGACTCACTTATGATCAACAATGATCATTGTTGTCAAAAACTTCATGAATACATAACTTCGAACCAGGATGCCTTCAACCTGTAGTAGCCAACATCTTAGAACTTAACTGATCTTGTTCATATTCACTATTTTATAAAGAATATCATACAAAGTACCTCACAAGATATCGTAGCAAATGACACTTGAATACAGAGTGTGGGTGTCGATTTTCGTTTTCTTTCTCCACACTCACACCCACACCCACACCCTCTAGTTTGATGTTTAGTTGAGACACTGAAGTACCGATGTTGATAAAATGTACGGTCCATAGTATATTAAATGTGACGTCTATTATTGGCGTTCGTTTTTAAATGGGTATTATTGTAATGATAAGAAATAGATCTGAAATAGACTAGAGATATAATTAAATATCTGTTTAGATCATTCTAGTATATGAAGAAAAAGTTGACACAATATATAACATGACCTGTCTGATCAGATGGACTAAACATTTTAGACAAATCATAAATATTGCTTGATAGTGTAATATATATTACTTGCAAAAGTTCATATACACATCAACTGACGATAGAATGTATTTTGAATCATTACCAAATGAAATTTTACTTTATTTATTCGAATATCTTCATAGCACTGATATACTTCGTGCGTTTTTTGGACTTAATACTCGTTTAAAGTCTCTTATTTATAAACAATATTCATTCCATTCGTTTAACTTTTCATATGAACAAAAGAATGAATTCAATGAAATATGTCAATATCATATTCCACATTTTATTAATCGTATTTATGCTCTGAAAATTAATGAACATTTTTTTACTTATATTTCATCATTTGATCAATTTACTCAATTACGATTCTTAAAAGTATCGCGTGTACCTTCACCTAAAACATTAACAAAAATTATGGAAGAATTACCACATTTATTGAATCTTACACATTTAACTATTCGTTGTGTTATTACACGACAAGTATTCATTGATTTTTCATTGATTATTGATACAATTTGGAATTTACCAAAACTTCGTTATTGTTCTTTAACTATTTTTACTCCAGGGATTAATAGATTATATATGCCAACAAAAATATCATCAACTCTTGAGTCACTCAAACTAACTGGATATCGTATTCCTTTTAATCAAATAGACCAATTCATGAAATATACTCCTCATTTAAAATATTTATCAAACGTTCTTGTTTTTCTTGATACTAAGATTAATCATAACTATGTTTTACTTTCTCTTTCGACATTAATCAGTTTAAATATTGGTATATGTCGCTCATGTAATTTATCAATGATGGGTTTATTATTGAAAAACTTATCAAATCTTCAACATTTAACTATTAGATTATTTGACAATATCATTGATGGTTATAAATGGGAACAATTTATTCGTAATTATCTTTCTAAATTGAAGAGTTTTAAAATTGATATGAGTTATGAAATTGATCGTAATCGAAATATTGAAGAATATATGAATCGATTATTGAATTCATTTCAAAGTTCATTTTGGATTAAAGAACATCAATGGTTTATACATTGTTATATAATTGATACAACTATTCATCTGCATACATCAACATGTTATGATTTTTGTTATCTTGATCAAAAATTTCCTCTCATATGGAAATCAACAAATCCAAATGATAATCAACAAATACTTTATAACAATATAAAAACAATCGATGAAACCTTTTTTGATCAATCATTACCATTAGATATTTGTTTACCAAATATTAGATCTATTACTATTCAATTTCCACTTCCTGATCAATTTTGGTCTATTATTCCTAATCTTAATCATTTAAATACATTAAATATCATATTATTTACTGATATATATCAATCAGAATTACAAAATATATTAAATCAAACAACTCATTTGTGTTCTTTACATATTAAACAAGATCCATCATTACGATCACCTCAATTATCATTCTTTAAATGTACAAATTCATCAATTCCTATTCTTGATTTTATTGAATTGAATTATTCTTTGGATGAGATAGAATGTTTATTATTTTCTCGTTCATCATTAGCTAATCGATGCGAAACATGTTCTATTAATGTTCAAAATCGTCATTGTATTGTTATTCTTATGAAAAATATGCCGAATCTTCAGACGTTAAATGTTCGTTGTGAAGAGGAAGTCTCCATCACTGAAAACATCCAAATTATACAATGGTTAAACGATAATTTATCATCAACATATTTGATTACCAAAGATTCTGATTCTTCTGATACTATTCGAATACGGATTCAATAAATATAGTTTTCGTTATGAAACAAAATTTTTCAATAAAAACATAAAACAATAAAAGAATCTCTATATTATTTTTTTTGCAAATATTTTTAACAATATTGAAGATAGATAGAGTTAAATGTCTGTAAAGACGTTGAAAAGTAGTTAAATATATTATGTATTCATATTCAAATTCTTTAACGATAATGATGATGAATTGATATTAAATATTTTATTCGAATATGAGTTTTTCGGATTGGGTGTGGGTGTGGTGTGGGTGTGGGTGTGTGTATATCTAACCTCTATTAATCCACACCCACACCCACATCCACCCTCAAGATTATCTCCGAGATATGAATCCGTCAAAATATTTATGTGAAACCTGATATCCATAAGAACGCGTCTTTATTCTAATATACTTGTATCTCGGACATAGTTTTTCAGAAACTTGTGAAACTTTATGAACAAACTTGTCTAATTGAGGCTTTAGTGTGGACAAAGTTTCAGGCCTAAATTCGAAACTTTGATTTTACCGCACAGATAGGGCCCTATAGTACAAATACAATAAATAGTCGATATCTCAGGCAAACATCAACTTGGGCTCATATCCTTGTAGGCTTTTTCTAGTCTATGTATTCCCTACTTGTGGGCGAAATTTCAGCTCAAAAGCTTTTTGATACCTCGGGAGGTTCCTTCGTCAGACCCACTCACTCTATCAAGTATTTTTCCGCTCGAAAAATCTTGCAAAGGTTTCTTAGTAAACGCTTCAATTATGTATTTAAGGGAATAACCATTTTTTGGTTTAGGAGTCTTACACAAGCTTTTTTATAGTTCGATACTCAACGTATTTTGTTTTTACAGTTCACCTGATACGTGATAAAAACAGCATAAAAAAAAGAATTCAGTAGTCTGAACAGACTAATCCATGCTATTATATATGATTTATTGGTACAAACAATCTAAAAATAAAAAAAAATAAATTATTCATTTGATCTTTAAGATTAATCAACAGTAACTATGTTATCTTTATGCAATGATCGCCAATAAGAAAACCAGACATTCTAATACCGTTGAAAAGACCAGAGATCTTGTTGTATCTGGGATTTATGTTCTAAATTCTATATTGATTACTTTTTCATGTGAGATAGAGTGCACATACGAGATATTCTATCACTGTAATATCTATAGCAACATTCAAATTTTCAATTTTTTTCCCAGTCTATCCATTATGACGCAGATAAATAAAAGTCAGGAGTTGATTCGGAATGACGCAGATGAATAAAAGTTAGGACTTAGTTTGAAATGACGTTAGAGAAAAGCATTAATTAATAACATATTAGCAGCAGCATCTGTTACAAATATTCAAATTTGCGTCAGCAACTAAACTATTATGTCTGTCGAACAGGAACAAACGAGTTTGCTCATATTTTATGATAAATTTTATTACAGACAAGAGTTTTAGTAATCTAATAAAAAAAGAATATATTTATACGAACTATATAGAAGATAAACACAGTGTTCATCTTTTCATTATATCATTAAATACTAAACGTGTGTGTTGCTACGTTTCAAATCAATCTTTATTATACAGATTGGATAAGTGAAAAGGAGAATGTCGACACATTTCAGCATGATTGTTTGCGTTTCGGGATTGACGAAGTGCATCTGCATCGTGCAATAGTATCTTTTTGTATAGGATATCATTCATTTCAACTCCAAAAATGTTCAAAACTGTATAAAGGACTATAAACTAATTGAAAATTTGAAAGAAAGCATGTTCCGATGGTCTATATTTACCTGTAACTTGGGAATGTGCATGGGTGTCAATGACTACGTGGGTATTCGTTGAAGATAAATTTCAGTTTACAAGTACACTTACGTCCACCTATCCAGAAATTATCGAATATATTAGGATCAGCTACAAAATAGATTTTCTAATCGATGTATTTATTTTTTCTATTCTACACAAAATAACAAAATATGTTGTTCAAATACAATTTGTTTTCTCTGTTAGAAAACGTTGCATTTTCTTCTATAAGTGACGATTTTCAATGTTTTTCTTTCATATCCTTCCTCCAAAGTTTTAATATCATGAATATTTTTTGAATTTACAGCAGATCATAACTGACATCTGGTAGGATTTAGTTCAAAAATCAACTTTGAAAAAGGAAGCAAAATTTATTATTCTTATTGACCGATCATTTTTAATGTTGTGTTTTGTTGCAGATGTTTCAATATAAATACTTTATGTTGATATTATTCTGTAGACTAGAGGTGTAAGCCGTCGGCTCTAGCAAAAATGTCAGCTACTAGCCGTCGGCTTCAGCAAAACTCGGCTGACGGCTGACACCTCTATCTGAGAAGAAAAAGTTTGCTGTTTTCATAATTATTAGTTTACAGCATCATACTGAAGTGTCTTCTGTCACTTCAACGATTTTGTAGTCAGTTACTTGATAATAGCACTGCAAAACAACTTCTTGTTCTTGGCTAACTGGATTTGAGTAAGTGTGAATATAACGTAATGTGCTTTGTGAATAATAGAAAAAGAACGATTGTTCAACTTCGATCCACGAAGATAAGTTTCAACGCTTTTTTAAATGTGTTTTTTCCAGTTTTGGCAAAATCATATAAAACTATTCCGAAAAGTTTTATAAACATATTTTTATGTTAATAGTTTTCTTTGAATTGTCTTAGTTTTCCTCAAGTATTTCTTCATAGTTTTCAACTAATATTTTGTTTTCAAGTATTCTTTTCTTATGATATCATGTGTTTTTGTTATATATTCTAGATTATTGATTTTGATAAGGCATTAATTCAATTTTATGTGCACAGAACATTCATTATGAGTCGAAATCAAATAGGAGTTGGTGATGTAATATATTTTGTTAAAAATTAAATAAAATAAATTTGATTTTAATAAACTATTTTAGTCTGAACCAGTTACATTGAATTCTGAACAAACATCAAGTGATCAATCAACATTGTTGTATGTGTTTTGAATTGTTGAAATGCATAATCGAAAGAATTGTTTATTATAGAAGCAGATGTTCTGTAAAAAAGAAATTCTTATGCATCATTATTGTTATTATCATTGTTATTTTGGTTGTAACTATTCCAACCGTGATTATTAAAACAAAAAAAACAAACATGATAGAATCATCAACTGTAATAACAGAAATAACAAACATGATAGAATTATCAACGGTGACAAAAGAAATAACAACGCAACAACAATTTACAACAACAACGCACAATCCAACAACAGAAGGTATAATATTGATTAAATAAAAAAAAGGCGATATTCATTTTTTTTGGTAAACTATTAACATATTTTCCACAGTATGTTACTGTTGAGTTTATTTTTCCATATTTTATTAGAATATTCATACAGATTAGAATTCTATCGTTTGATTTTTGATAGAGACGAATTCTAAATCATATTTCACAAAGACGAATATCGATAGTTTTCATAAAATTCATAGTTCGATTTATTAAGGAAACACTTTGAAAAACTATTTTAATAAAAGAAGATATACTTCGTTTTCTTGAAAAACGATCTTTTGTCTTTGTATGAGTGAGCTTTTATTGTCATACTCTTGACTAGTCGTCTATCGATATACATCATCATTGCAAAGGACAAATTCTGATTTGCTTGCTTATAAGAAAAAGAAAAAAATATATTTATTTAGTTTTCTTTTGTTATTTGAAATGCCAAAGATAAAACTGTAATAATCTTTTATCATCAACTAATTCCAATAATAAGTTGCTTTTTTGTTGATTGAATTTTCAAAAAATTGCAAAGATCTCCGATCGAATCATTCATTCACAAATTCAATAAACCTTTAAAATCCATTTTTCCTTTTAATTCCATTCAAATTTAGATACTTTTTCCATATGTGATTCAGTATTTCTTTTCAAAATAAAATCAAAGTTTGGATTTAAGATAAATCAACAATCTTTATATTGTTTTCTTCTCGAACTTTGCAAATATCATATAAAATTTCTTTATAAAAATTAATTCTATTTTTTTGTTATTCTGACATTTTTGATTGAATCGATATTGTTAGATTTTGATTTAATATTAAATCTTCTTTTTTCTTCGCTGTTAGCATCAATCGAGCCAAAATGTGACAAATGGAACCAACATGGAATTACTGTTGCTGGAGGAAATGGGGACGGAGATCAATTAAATCAACTCGCTCTTCCTTGTGGGATGTATATCGATGATAACAAAAGCATTTTGATTGCTGATACTGTAAATCATCGTATTGTTGAATGGAAATATAATGCAAAGGAAGGACAAATCATTGCAGGTGGAAACGGACAAGGAAATAGCCTAGATCAACTTAGTGTACCAATCGACATAGCTGTTGACAAAGAGAAGAATGTAATAATCGTATGTGATCGTGGAAACAGACGAGTTGTACGATGGTTTCGTCAAAGTCAAACAAATTCACAAATTCTCATTTCTGCTATTGAATGTGGCGGTGTAGCAATAGACAAAGATGGGTCTATTTATGTTTCTGATGAAGAGAAAAATGAAGTAAGACGATGGAAAGAAGGAGACACAAACGGAACACTAGTTGCAGGTGGAAATGGTGCCGGATATCGCTCAAATCAACTCAAAAATCCTATGAAAATCTTCGTCGATGAAGAATATTCTGTTTATGTAGCGGATCAAGAAAATCATCGTATAATGAAATGGAAAAAAGATGCAAAAGAAGGAATTCTGGTTGCTGGCGGAAATGGAGCAGGACCTAATCTCAACCAATTATATATGCCTCTTGCAGTGATTGTTAATAATTTGGGTCAAATCTATATTGCAGTCCCTTTTGGTCATCAGATTATGCAATGGCGTGAAGGAGACGCACAAGGTTCAATTGTTGCTGGTGGAAATGGTGAAGGAGATGAACCAGATCAATTACTTTTTCCCAGAGGTGTGTCATTTGATAATGAAGGCAATCTTTACGTTGCTGATTCTCAAAATCATCGAATTCAAAAATATGAACGATGTACTGAATAAAATGAAAACTATTTTGTTTTGAAAATGAATCAATTATGAAATCATATACTTCATCTAAATAAAAGATAAAATCATTTCACTTTGAATAAATAATAAATTCATTTTAGTTTATAAACTATTGGTTACAAATGAAAGTTGTAATAGCTTCCTGATAAGTCTTTTCTGATGTGTGAGAGATAATAAAGTTCTTGTGATGAGAGTTTTATGTGAAAAATTTACTGTTTCTAACTTTAGATTGGAATAAAATTTGAGCAGAATATTTTAATGATAAGATTAAGCTAAAGAAAATACAAGAAATTTATTTCCATCAGTTATAATACTTACTTTTCTTATTTTACCGTCAAAATAAGAGTGTGAGGTAGGCCTAATTCTAGTTGAAAATACTACGTTTGAAGAAGAAGAAGATAAGGGCACGGCCAGCTAACGGTCCCCTTCGCTGGTGAAGGTTAAAAATCAGTAATATATAGACAAAAAATTTCTTAACAGAAATTATGATCTTAAAATATTATTAAGTTTGTTCGATATTCTGAATTACTCAGCTGACATATAAAACAAGTATCATTTTCCGTTCCTACGAGTTTAAAAACACGAATAATCACGAAATTTCACTTTTTTTTATTTTGAAAATTTTCATTTTTGTCAAAATAATGGATGAAGTTTTCTATGAAATTTTGAGACAAACATGAAAATGAACTAATCGATTTATACAAAACAATACTCTTAATCGTTACAGAATGAAAAAAGTTAGATTTCATAGTTAAAACTATTATAAAAATGTCACTAAATTGTCCCTCACAGAACAAAAGAAAAACGGCGAAATTCCGTAACAGCTGAAATTCCGTAACACTCAGTATTTCAAGTCGTCTTATTTAAAGGGGATGTCTCACAAAGAAAATGACGTGATATTCCGATAGCTCGTGAAAAACTGAACAACTTATGTATAGAACGTTTATTTAAGAGCCGGTTAGTTTCGAAGAAAAAAGTCAAAATCTGAGACCACCCTCAAAATTTTGTCCATTTTTGAAATTCCGTAACGAACAATGTTTTGCATATAGCTCCGTTATGGCTTGCCATAAGTCAGTGAAATTGTTACTGCTGGTAGACCTAGTTAACCTTCATATGTGGTAAAAATTTCACAAACATATCTCTTGTTATTGAGAAGATATAGGTCTCACAAGTTAAAAAAATGAAATTCCGTCACGCTTGGCCGTGCCCATAAAGAGAAATTAACAAAAACGAAGCAACCAACTTATTTTATGTTATTCTTTTTCCTTCCATTTTGTTTTGATCTTCATGTGTCCAATCACTGCAATACGTCGATGTTGAGGTACAATTTCTTGTGAACATAAGTGCTGAAGGAGAAATACAAGTCTTCCGAAAAATGGTTTTTATCTCTTCCTCTCCACCATGCCTTAAATTGTTGTTTGATCAAATAACTGAAAACAAGAATGCTGTATACATCGTGCCAATAAGAGAGAAAAAGAGTAAAGTTCAATCTGAAATCTAGTAAGATGGGTGTGAATGTGATGTGGGTGTCGGTGTTGGTGTGGGTATGATGTGGGTTTGGGTGCGGGTGTGATATGGGTGTGAATATGTATGAATGATGGATAAATTAGACTTTAACATCTATACCCATTCCCACCCACACCCACACCCATACCCACACCCACTTCACACCCGCATCAACACCCAATTTTTCCTTCTGATTGGCATATACGTCAGGAAATTGAGAACAATAAAATATGAACTGTTACGTAGTGCAGCTATTATGAATATAAGATTCCAACATACTCCGCGCTTTCTTGCCTTTTTTAACATTGTTTCTCTCTCTTTTTCTTTAATATTCTGCCTTCTTCTATTTTTTTTTCTATAGCAGGTTTTCTTATACTCTTATCATTGTGAGTTGTTTCTTTATAAATATACTGCGTTTAGACATGTACATATATATAGAGAGAGAATGAAAAAAGGAGACAAACACTTCTCTTCTTAATACATATATAACTTTTGTATAACAGAATGATTGATTCTTTTCTGGCTGATGATATCCTTTTGTTTCTGTGTCGAAATGGATGGTAGCTACAATATGCATTTTAATAACGAATAAAAAATTATGATAAGAAAAATATATTTTTTTGCCAATTAATTTTATACCTTATTTTCTCTTTGTACCTGTAAAAGAAAACAAGTTACTTTTTACTATTCGTGTAATCAATTTCGTACTACTTACCATTGTAATTGTAACTAGCAGTTCAACATGTTTATTTAACTAAGAAACTTCGCACCAAAATTATCTCTCAGCTTCAGTTGGCCTCAATGAAAATTTCAGCGATTGTATGGCGAAACTGAAATAGAATGTTATCCGTTATTTAAAAATAGATCAGATTTTCAATTGTTAAAAGTAGCAAACTTTAAAGTGAAATACTATTTACAACATGGGTGTTAAAAGGGAGAAAATGGCAAACTCCAAGAGACCATGAAGTCTGCCATTTCTCCCTTGCTGAAAGTTCACGTCGGAAATGAATCACAAAAGAATTCAAAATTTTTATGTATTATAAGAAAGATGGGTGTCGATATAAATGAGTGAGAATGATAGATGGGTATAATATCGACACCACACCTATCCACACTCGAGATTTCCATGAAAAATCTTTTATTATTTCTTAAAATCAAATTATCGAATAATTTAATTGTTTTATCTTTTACTAGAAAAATTAATTTTATAATTCTAACAGAAATTGGATTTCAAAATAGAAATGGAGTTAATATTGAATGTTATTTTTCAAATGCGTAAAAAAAAAGAACGTCAATTCTATTAACTCTATTTGATCGAATGTTGTCAGATGGTTATATTTTTCTTCATAGGAAATACGCCATTTTTCAAAATAATCAAACGCAAAAAAAAATTAATAAACTTTCTTATCAAAATAGAGAATAAAATGAATATTGACTTGTATTTCTATTTTTACATTGAATAATCATTTTAATTAATAAATAAATTTGAAAAAAAAATACATTTTCTTCGTCAATAAAATAATTTCAATATTTGTTTGTTAAAATAAATTATTTCGAAGATAGATATATAGAAAAATAATCCCCAAAGATATTTTAATTCATGCAAAGAACATTTTTTTCTCATGATATTTAAATCTGATCAACTATGGACAATGATGTCATATTCCTTACAGACACATCCATCGGAAGGATTTAATTGAATTTTGTTTCTTAGCTTTTTTGTTTTTAAATTTTAAAATAAATTGTGTTCTTTACTTTACGATGATTAATCATGCAAAAATCATTTGAAATAGATGGACAAATGTTATTTAGATGTGACAAACATTTTATCAGGAAAACGGTATTATGTTGTCTAATATTTTATTGCGTCGTTTTTTATTTCCAGACAAGTTTGTTAATCATGATAAAAGAGAAAAATATTGAAAGGATATGTTTTTTCATCGTTTATTAATCTATTAGAATTTCTATTTTTTCTCTTATTTTCCAAACAATTTTTTCTTCTACTCAAATCGACAATTAACTACATTTAGAATGTAAGATACAATTATTGCATAAATACTTCTTTTTTTTATATCACTCAAACAAATAATATTTTTCCTCACAAATATCGTTCAATTCTTTGGAATTCTGTTACTTTAATATTCACCTATCTGTATTTTACATATTTGAATATCTTGCTCACTTCTTCCTTTTCTTACATGTTTTGGCATTAGAATCTGAATTTTTACTAGCAGAAGTGCAACTGAGGAACTTATCATCATCAGTTTTATTGTTTTCTCCTTAATAACGATAATCCATATAGAAAATATCATTCCAAAGTTCTTTCTTTTCTAAAAAGACGTTTGACCATTTATTTTTCTCCTGATTAGAGTCTTTGTGTTCTTTTTAAAATAATTGTTTTCTTTTTTAGAACAAAGCACTTCAACTGATTTTCAAGTTTCAATACCAACACAAGAAGTTTTTGAACAGATTCATTCATTCCTTGAATGATGAAGTTCAAAACTTTACCTGCGTGGCTTTATAAAAAAGGATCTAATTACAATCTTTTTATGTTAGAAGAACATGAATATGATGACGATAATGATGCTGTTCAAGATCCAGCTATTGTTCTTAAACATCAAAAATATAAAACTCGATTATATGTTGTTCTTCTTGCAGGTAAATCATGAGAGGTGTGACATATCTCGTATATCGAGGATGCCGCAGATGTTATAGAGGTAGTATACAATACTCGGGACGGTACTCGAAGGTGGTTGAGAAACGTCCATAATGCATACTTGACAGCTTAGAAAAAGACAGCAGATATGACAGGGGTATACATGGAAACTTTGCGTCTTACGCCACCACATGCCCCAGTCGTGCATATTTGAGTGACGCCAATGTGGCTATGTATCACTCCAACTTCTCTCGACATTCACTCGTACTATAAACATTTCACTGCAACTGCATGTCTATTTAGAAAATCCCACTGCGAACCCATTCAGATAGCACATGCTCACTCCACTCTGGACTTACTCCTAGTATAAGAATCCTGCTGCAACTCTAATTTCAATGTAATTTAATACAGGCCCACTTCAACTCCATCTCTGTTTCAGAAATGCCATTCGGACGCTATTTTGAGAGTGTGCGTGCCGTGCTTTTTACTCATCTCCGCTGCTTTGTGCCACATCTACACCAACCATAAATAGATAGTAGTAAATGGAGACTCTACAAATCGATCAAAAGTCTCAAAATTTTCTCAGAAATCAGTGAAAATCGCTGTATATTGTGGCTTAGGTGACGTTTCACCCAGTCCACGTGAAGTGCCGTTAATCCCCTCTCAACCTTCTGCTTGGACCTGTCGAGGTACCATCAAAAGTTTGGTGACGTTAGCTATCACAGGACTGTCTCGGTGCAATTCCACCCAAACACCCTCTTAGTGGCGGCGCCGAAGGTGGGTTGGGGTGAGCTCAGTCCACCCTGAAATGGTTTTTAGATCTTATATATATAATATTGAGCCCATCCTAGTCTAAACTCTTGGCGCCGCCCCTACACCCTCTCTCAACCTCTGCCAATGTCTTGAGCCTCCATCAGTGGCACCAACCCCGTGTCGATGTTCCATCGGAGCTAGGGAAGTATCACGAAACGTTTAGCGGCGTTAGTCATAGCAGAACTGTATGGGTGAAATTCCACCCAGATACTTTATACTGAGGCTCCATCAATGGCACCAACCCCGCCTTGATCTTCCATTAGAACTAAGGTAGTAGCATGGAAAGTTTAGCGGCGCTAGTCATAACAGGACTGTGTAGGTGAAATTCCACCCAGACATCCTCTCTTAACCTCTATCAATGTCTCCAGCCTCTATCAATGGCACCAAACCCCTCTCAGCCTTCCATTGGAGCTATGAAAGTATCATGGGAAGTATGGTGACAGTAGTTATTACAGAGCGATCTGGGTGAAATATCTCCCAGTACCACTCCGTTCCTTCTCCTTCCATGATGCCAAACTTCTATTGGCATTCCTCTAGACTTAGACAAGTGTCATGAAGGGTTTGATGACACTAGCTATTACTGGTACCGAATGCATTGCGTACAAACTAAGAAGCCTTCTTCTTTATGTGTAGTTAGATGTGCCAGCTATAACTAAGAGATATCGAAAGTAAATTGGTAGGATGCTAAGAATCCGTCCCGTCTCCGAGTTGAAAAAACATGTTCGTGGGTTTGAGTTCGGAACAGCGCAGAAAATGCATATTCTGCGGAGGACCCTGTATCTTTCTACAGAGGTGTCGCATATTCCGCATCTCTATCTGTGGCTTCCAAAATGAAAAAATGTTGCATCGAATATCTCAATATAGCGTTGTATGTAGAGATGTATGATCTCTCGACCTTGTGGAATCATATTTCATGATACCCACATCTAGATGTATACTGTGTGTGTTTTGTGTGCAGGAATAAAATTCGTGTCGACCAAAATGGTCGTATGACTGTGTTCACCAAAGAACTATTTGCATGTGATGTGGAGAGTAGAGTGTGGGTGTGCATATTATGCTGAAGTTATACCTGCACTAAAACTCACACACCCTCACATTCAAACAAAACCTAAATTTGTCGAGATATCATGAAATACAGATTTAGTTGTAAAACAAAGTCGTTTGTCTATCTAAAAAGATTTTAGTCTAAGTTATTTAGCTAATTAAAGAAAATAGTCATCTGACAGTTTTCTTTGTTTTAGTGTGTCTCTATATGTTATTCTATGTTACTTTGGTAAAAACCAAATCTGCAATGATTCCTATCTCGAATGTAACGCCTGATAATTTTAACAAGCTTTATTCTGAGCATGATCAAACTCTTACATGTCCATGTTCAACAACAGCAATACCTTATCGAAATTTTACTTCGAACAATGTTACAATGCATCCGGTTTGTTCGAGTATTTTTATTGAATCAGAATGGATCAAAGGATTATATTTTCCAAATGCAAGTCAATATGGAGTATGGGATTTTCGAACAACGGCACATTCACAAGTAAGTTAGAATTTATATTTTAACATGTGTGCTTCCCTGTCATAAACTATTTGAATGAAAAGATGTTGTTCGATTTATTGAAGCACATCAGAATGTTCCTCAAAATAAAGTTTGATGCGAATAGAATTAATAGGGAATTTAATTTTGTGGTAAAATTGTATAAAAGCGTTATTTTCTGTTAAATTCAGGATCAATACAACAGGCAGAGATATAGATGAGAACGCAGTAGAAGTTGATTTTTCAAAAGTCATCACGACAGGGCTGCGACAGTAGCATGTTTATTTCATCCATGATCGCGCCAACGTTCCGTTAGATTTTTTCTCTAAGGCTATGACGCGATAGTAGTCGGGTTTTCAAGTGCGATAGACATCTCTGACAACAGATCATAGTGATATTGCTGTGTTGTGGTATAAGTAATATAAGCTTTATATCAATTATACCGCAGCACTACATATATCTACAGATACTGATTTTACTACAAATTAATTTTTTTTAAATTAAATGATTTGGTTGCAAAATCGAATTCTTCAACGTATGTGTGGATATAAGTATTATATTGATCTATCATCATTTAATATGCATGCGTCCACCTTCCTCCACAAATTTTTTCAAACCTCCACAGGTAAACATTATAGAAGAATTGAATATTTTATCACACAAAAAAAAGTGACTATGTGAAAAATGGAAGATTTCAGAACGAAATACTGAGAATATAATCTCGCATAACTCATATAGTTTAAAGAAGATAAAAGTTGGTCTACATTGTATAGAATTGAGATCTATACACCATATTCGACTCATTCATATGCTTTTGATTTTAATATGAATAATTTAATATCAGACAATACCATAGTTGAAATTATCTGTACAATCGTACTAGAATTCAAAGTTTTATTATTTTAAAGATTACTCCGAATGAAAGAATTTTAAAAATTGAAACGAATTATTTATTAGTTAATTATCATTTTATTCAAATTTCAAATGAAATAACATCTTCTATTCTTTCCTTTCTTTAGTTTGAACTTTTATCAAGTTTTTGTTCACTTTCAAAAGAAATTATTTCTCAAACTGAAACTGATATTGACAATAATGAACTGGTTACTCTTTACCTTCTTTCTCACGAACAAGTTCAATCGCAAATAGATGGAACAATTGACCTACTAAAGAAAAGTGCATCGTCTCAAATAATAACATATTTAGATTATCTAAAAAACACATTTCAAACAAATTATTTAGTTTCAGCTCTCAATACAAATTTAATAATTAAAACAATACAGGTAGCTGAATCTATTCGTACACGTGCATATCAAGTATCGTACCGTTTTGATTATATTAACTACACACTATGCAGTAGAAAGAAAATAGTAGCTGATGCTACTCTCACCCAAATGATTTACGAATTAAGCGACGCCGAGAGTAGAAGCTCAATGAAGCCGAAGCCAAATTCTACAACTGTTAATGGATTCTTTACAGGATGTACTCCTCTTGAAGCACTTCTTGAAAGTACATTAGATTGTTTATATCAGACAGAATGTCTTCAATTATTAGTGGATTATTTTCCAATTCGTCAACAAGTTTGTAAACGATTATTGATTATCTTTGAAATATTCATTCTCTTTAGATAAATTTCCATGCAAATAATTCAGCTTTAACTTCAAAGCATGAAAAACTATCTGTTAATAAATATTTAAATGATCTTTTCATTATGAATTGGTCAACAGACACTGATTATACAAAATATTTCCACCAATGTTCTCCATCAAACTGTACATATTTAAAAAAAGATGGAACGGAATTATCTTATGGAATAACTCTTTTCATTAGTCTTTATGGTGGTCTCATTATAATACTTCGTCTTATTGCATCATGGTCTATCGATATTCTATCAAAAATCAAATGTTGTTCAAGAGAGAGAAATGAAAATTCAGGTAGATCTTTAATTAAAGAAAGAATATTTGTTTATCCAGAATTTCTATTCGATTTCTAATAGATGAAAATGGAAAGATATTGAAATTTATTGAATCAATAAAACGATTAAACTTATTTAAGAATGTTAATGATCGAACAGAAAATAGTATCAAACAACAAAAGATTACTACACGTGTTTATTTGATTTTATTAACTGGTAAAGTTATTATGTCATTGTTTTTTTTATAAATGATGAGCTAAAAGTCAAAGAAAGTCTCGATTAATTGTATCTAATTATAGAGTTTGTGCTTTTGACTACATTGAAAGATAAATTATCATGTATTTTAGGAAAAAACGCTACCTTGATGAAATACGAAACATTTTTCAGTTTTGGATAAAATCTCATTTTTATATAAACATAGTCACTTTCTTTCTTAATACTATTATAGGTTCAATTTGTATTCTTTGTTTATTCACATCATTAAATAGTGAAACTGTGACAAAAATTGAAAAAAATCCATCGTTGACAACTTATAATTCTTTAAGAGGAGGCTTACATTCCGCTTCACTCCAATGTCCATGCTCTACTAAAGCAATTCCTCATCAAAAATTTGTCTCATTGTCTCCATATTATCATCAAATATGCTCAAGTAGTTTTATTCATATTGATTGGATTGAAATTATGAGATCGAGTTTATTTAATAGTATTTCTAAGGATCGGCAGTTTCGTATATCCGCACTGTTTCAATTATTATCTGATTTTTGTCAATTAGCTGATAAGACAATCAATGATGCTGTGAAACAATATCTTTCACGATTATTTATTGCTTCTTTTGTAATGAACGAAGATGATTTCGACAAACAATTAAATTCTAGTCTTAATCAATTTTATCGATCAACAATTCATAATTTTGATTTGATGGCAAATGCCTTACAACTTTTTATGCAGGTTGATCAGCTGTATATAGGAGCAAACCAAAAGGATATAGATAAAGTGGACACCAATCTAATCGGAAATATTGTACAAGATAAAACAAATACAACTAAACTAGTAAAGGTATGTTGGTATTTTGAATGATAAAATGATGCATTTGTTCAAAGAAATAATCAGAAGTAGTTCAGTTATCTTGACTATTTCGGAAAAGTAATTAAAAAGTAAATAAGTTATACATTATTCACGTTTATAATGAAAATAAAATATTTATAAGTTAATGATTGTCACACATGATGAAATGGCTAAGTCGACAAATACGGGACGCAAACGAGTGTGTCCATTTCATTACGATGAATTGATGAAAATAGTATTCCGGAATGGAGTTCAACGAATTTTTCCACTTTTCCCTAATCATTACGGACTGGAAACCGTTTAGGAATTCTCAAAAAATTCCGACAATTTCCGATTGCCTTTCGGGTATTAAGCAGTGTTTTATCTGGCAGATGAGCCAGGTACACACTCACACTCCGCCAAGTTTCTGCTCTTTTCCAGCAGGAAACGATCGAAAACCACTGTAGAAATCGGAAAACATCCGACTCGGAATACTATTTCCGTGTTTCGTTGATTTCCATTATTTTCCTGCAGGTTCTGCGCCTTTCCAAAACCGGTTCCAGTGGAATCCGTTCATTGCCGAGGCCCGGAATCATCGATCTTGGTAAGCTTTTCTAAGTCTTGTCTGGTTAGATGCCTAGAGCTGCGGTCGAATTGAGGGATAAGTAAGTAAATATAATTTTGAGTTGACTTCTGAATGTATTACTCAACATCGATCAATTGGGAGTGGCAAACTGAAGTGATACCGACGATTGACTGTCAAATGAGATTGATATTTTTTTAGTAGACTATATAGTAGAGACTTGAAGAAGTAGATTTATAAAGAGAAAGACGACCGTGATCATATAGAATCATATTTGTTTTTATCGTAATATATACGACAAAATAGTTGAACTTGGAACCAAATAAACGTTGTCTAATAATGGGTAGATCAAAAGCAGTCATGAGTCTAGCGAATCTTCTTGATGAACATTATTTCTTTTGCATATTTCTTGGGAACAATTTTAAATTTAGTTTATAGTACTATTTACATATGAGGAACAATTTTTTATGTAGGAAATAGTCACTTTATGATATACATTTTCTTGAATATTTTCATAATCTTTAGACCAATTTTCAAAGTTTTATAAAAAAAACAAAAATAAATGTTTATATTAATCTGACTACTTTTAAAAAAATTAGTTCTTTTTATTTTCTTTCAAAGGTATAACATTGAAAATACGATTCATAATTAATGAAAAAAAGAAATCAACATATATATCACTCTAGTAAATTTATCTATTTTTATCAATATTTCTTTCAAATAATAGTTGTTATCTTTTTCTAGAAAAGCATATTATTAAATTAATTAATTCATGTAAGACTATTATTTGAGATGTTATAAATTTACTAAGAGGAATTGATGATTTTTCGATCATCTCTTATCTTACTTTCTCAAATTTAATAACATTTAAAATAATAGAATTCATTGATATCATACATTAACGAAAACATTTCAATAAAAGAAAAGATCTTTCAAATGAATAATGTTTCCTTGAAAAAAAATCGATATTGATCACATATAGAAATAGAATTCCTTTCATTTGTTTAATGTTGAATTATAGATTTTTGTAATATTAATTTTAGCTGAAATTTATTTTAAACGAAATCAAAGAAATCAACTCGTCAATGACTAGATGTGTTTGTGCAACTGATCCTTATTGTAAAGTTCCGGCTGTTATTTACGATCCTGTTCAAGAGTTTTATATTAGCAATATAACTTATATAATTTATAATGCATCAGGTTGGATTCGAGGATGTCTTGTTATCGATGCTCTTCTTCATTCCACACTTCAATGTTTATATGCAGGTTCAAATTGTTTTCCATTATTATTGAGTGATGCTACACAGCTGTCTAGTTTATTGAGTAATAACCAATCGTCGCTTATAATTCATCCAATGGTTTATAATCCAACAATGAGCCGTTTTCCTCCAAATACAACTGTTTCAACCATGTTTAAGGAAATGATGATCGAAGAATGGAATCCATCTCCAACGTATCCATCATTTTATGAATCATGTGCACCGATTTATTGTACTTATTCTCAAAAAATTCGTACAAAAAGTTTTGTTGGAGTGATAATAGAATTGATAGCAACAGTTGGTGGCCTTGTAGCTTTATTACGAATTGTGACACCTTATCTTATTAAATTTATTCTTAAATTACCAACAATATGTAAGAAAAAGAAACAACGTCAACCAAAAGAACGAGGTAATAAGAGTTTTAATCAAATCTCCACAGATAAACTTTAAAGTTCAGTTGATTGAAATTGAATTCTTCTGTAAATAATATCGCGCGAAGTGTTCGTCAGCGGAAAAATTTCTTGATATAAGACGTTGAAATAATTAATAGGTGCGGCAGAATAAATGGTCCTCTCAGTATTCTGACTATAATTTTTTCATTTTTTGCGCTACTGAGCTAAATATTTTTTTAGAAGATGCGTGAAAAAATTCTCTACAAAATCATGTAATTTATTTAATCGACATTGCTTTTTGATAAGCGATTAGTCAGAAAAGTTACTTAGAAAGCACGACTTTTTCGAAGGCTTTATTTTTCAAGCTCTAAAGTTTCACTGCATATGGGAAGGGGAAAGAAAACTAGAGAGGTTTGTACAGAATTTCTTTGCGCATCTTTAAAAAAAATTAGCTCAGTAGGACAAAAATGAAAAAGTTATGGTCAGAATACTGAGAGGGCCATTTATTCTGCCGCACCCGTTATTACAGTAAAACAAAAAATGTCTCATTATTTTAGTTCTTGATTAAATAATAGTCATATAATTTTATTTAATATTTGAAGATTTCTAAATGTTTACTCGATATATAAAACTATTAAAAGAGAATGTGTTTAATATGTTTTCATTTCTCTCTAGTTCATCAAAGTTGTGCCAATCGGATGAAAATCATGATACGAAAACTGATTAAGCTTTTGTCAACAACTTTAATTGAATTGAATATATTTTCAACACGTGATTTTGGAAGTAATACTGATCAAATAAC